GCACCGCGCCGTCGTGCCGCACGACCACGTTGGTGCTGGCCGAGGCCGGCGGCTGCGCGTCCGCCCTGTGGGCAGACGGGACGGAGAGCGGGACGTCAGCCGCCTGGCTGCAGCCTGGGTACCGCGGAGGTGAGGGCGGACCTGGAAGGGGTCAGGGGGTGGCGGCGCCCTTGTGGCCTTGGCGGCACAGAGGGTGGAGCGCGCCACAGCCAGCCCTTCCGTCTGAGGAAGTCCAGAGGGGGCAGCACCCGAAGGGCTCAGGAAGGGACAGCTCTAGCCCAGGCAGGGTAAAAACTTCGCTGCAAAAGCAGGCAGTGACACTGCGTCGCCAGTGTGACCTCGGGAGTCATTTGCAGTATTGCTTAGAGAGGTCTGGGGAAGCTGTGCGGCGCCATGTGTTGGCTAGCGGACCAGAGCCGGTGCCGGTGGCATCTCGGGCCTGGAGGAAGGAGATCCCTGGGAAGCCCTGAGATCAGACCTGCCTAGAAGGGTGGAGGGGGCCAGATAGAGGCCCTCGTAGCCACTCCCCAGCAGACATTCAGCCTAAGTTGTCCTGGGTCAGCCTAAAGTGGGGGTGCCTTGCTGAGGGGTGGCTGTGAGCTCCTGGTGGCTTAGAGGAGCCCCAGGGTGAAGTGTCCAGAGCGACCAGCTCTGGTAGGAGGGGGATCCGTGCAGACCGGGGTGAAGGGCAATTCCGCAGAGGGGTGGGACAGGAGGGGGTTCCAGGTAGGCCGTACTTGTTATAGAGAACAATGTCCGGCCGCCACACAAGACTGCTGGGGATGCGGATGGCATCTAGACCACCGTAGGCATCAGGGTCCCATCGTAGGTAGGCATCTGTCCACTCCTGCCGGATCCACAGGTACAGGGTCAGCACCTGATTCCGCTCATCCTGGAGGGCGGGAAGTGGACACCTGTGTTTGCATCCCCTGCCCTCTTTGTGCACACTGGCCTGCAGCGCTCTGCTCAGCACCCCGAACCTGATTCCCCTGGGCAGTCCGCTTCCCTCCCAGGCCTGACCTTGCTGAATGAGCTTGGTGGGTTTCTCTCACCCCTAGACCTGAGGGTCCTCAGCAGTTACATGGGGATAATTCCTGCTCGGGGATTCAGTGAGTCCACGGGGGGTGGGGGAGGGGCAGACTGTAGGGCACACAGCGGGCACGTGGCAGTTGGTGACATTTGTCCTTGTTCACATAACAATTACCGACTTGCTGGGAGAATAAACCGCCTCTCACCCTTTAGTCCCTCGACACTGTTACAGGTAACAACACTCCACAGCTCCTCTACCACAGCCGCCACGCACCATGTCGATGATCTGCGACAGGGTCACCTCCAGGGTCACATTCAGAGTCTGGTCTGTGTCAGCCACCGGTCTCAGGGCACTTGTGTAGTTGGCGAAGAGGTCACGGAACAGCTTGTGAGCCAGCCTGCCCTCAGCTCCAAAGCACTCTGGAGGAGCAGGCAGGTTTGTCCACCCGTGACTGCAGGCCAGAGGCCCTGTCCTCAAGCCCCTAGCTGGAGACCTGTCACCTGTCCCACGCCCCACACTCTTTCAGTGGTCCTCCTGTCCTTTGTCCCTCTAGCGGTGGCTCTGGTTCCTCCCTGGTTGGTCTCCAGCGATGAATGAGGCCAAGGCCATGGGCTTATCTCCTGGAGAGACACTGACTTACTTCTTTGCCTCTCTTTCCTTCCTAAGGACCTGGATTGTGCCTGTCCTGCCACAAAGGCTGGAGGGACCCCATGTGCCGAGGACTCCAAACTTTTACCCAGGCATCCCAAACCTCATTACCATCTCCCTCTGGTTTCTCAGACCTTCTTCTGCAGCTAAATATTGGTTTGTTTTGAGAAGAAGTCTTGCTGTTTTGTTCAGGCTGGCCTTGAACACCTGGGCTCAAACCATCTTGTCTCAGCCTCCTGAGTAGCTGGGGCCACAGGTGTGACCACCATGCCTGGCATTCCCTCTTCTGAAAATATACTAGGTTTTTTGTTCCTGACTTAAAGAGTGTCCTCAGACTCTCGTTCTCTTTTATATCCTTCATTTTTTTCTTAAGCCAGGTTTTTCTTTTTAGTTCCAGACCCATATGCAGGATTGTCCACTGCTTAATTTTTTCAAGCATTTTAAGCTCCATAAGTTTCAAAATATTAATTCATCTCTTGTCCTATGCTTAGAAATCTGCTTTTCTTTTTGGTTCTGGCATGATGTCTGCCATGGATGTCTGGCATGGATCAAAATTGAGACTGTCACGTGGTCTACCACTGAGCTATACCCCCAAGCCCCAAAACCTACTTTTTATATTTTGTACTGGGGACTGAACCCATAGCTTTTGCACTGAGCTATATCTCTAGCCCTTTGATTGATTGACTGATTTTTTTTTTTTTTTTTTTTTTTTTTTTTGAGACAGAAGTCAGGCTACACAGTCCAGGCTGGCCTCAAACTCTTGGCAGTGTTCCTGCCTCAGCCTCCTGAGTGCTGAGATTACAGGCGTGCGCCACCACACCTGGCTGATGGACTGGTTTTGAGGTAGGGTCTTATTAAGTCTCCCAAACTGGGCTCAAATTTACAATCCTCCTGCCTCAGCCTCCTGAGTAGATAGGATTACAGCTGTGTGCCACACTTGGCTTGAAACTGCTTCTTATTCTGTGTCCTTTGTCTCAGCAAACAGCACCCTCAGTGATGGCAGGAAGTTGGAATTTTCCTTCCTTTATTCGCTTTCCGTTTTCCTCATGCTGCAATCCAGTTCGTCTCTAAATCCTGCCAGATGTCTCCTGACTGCATTTCCCTTTGCAGTTCAGGCTCCTTCCTTTCTGGCTTGGACCTCCTCAGAACTCTGCCTGCCTCAGACTCACTCTCTCCTGCCAGCCTGTACACTTCTGGCAGATTAAGCTTTTATTTATTTATTTATTTTGGTACCACAATCAAACTCGAGACCTTGTGCTTGCCAGGCAGGCACTGTGCCACTGAGCTATATCCCCAGCCTGATTAAACTATTAAACATGTATCTCTGTCAGGTCAGTACCTGCCTAAAACTGCTCAGGGACCCCCTGGTTGCAGGCTAAAAAGCATTGGCCTGACATTCAAGGCCCTTCACGATTGGCCCCTTGGAGTTTCCAGCCCTTGTTCTGGAAATTCCCCATCGCTGTCCCATCCCTTACTGCCAGGTAGGGCTCCTCTCACCCGCTTCAGCAGCTCTTTCCCACACTCCCCAGAGAGAGAGAGCTTGTTCACGGTGTAGGTGCTGGAGAGAAAGATAAACGGACTTCCTGGGGAAGAGAGGTTTGGAGCTGACAGAAATTACAGCATTGCTAGGAGAGGCCAGGGCCGGTTTCCCGAGCTTCATACCTGCAGGAAGTAGGAGCAGGAGCAGAAGGCCAAGGCAGAGGTGGTAGCTTCTGGGCCCCATGGCTCTGCCACAGCCGGAGGTGGGGCAGGTCTTCTGGCCAGACCTAGGACGGAACCCGCCCTTGCTGGCAAAGGCGGCGTGGACAGTACCTGGCAATTGGAAAGGCTGAGATCCTCCGTGGCCCAGCTACTCTCTGGGGAGCCCTGTTGCCCTTCAGGTTATCTGACCCTGTTTTGCACCTGCTTGTGGATGTTAGTGTTTGCTCATTGGCATCTGCCGGTTCGCCTCTGCTGGGCCTTTCATCCTCCAGCCTTGGCCTCTGCCCTTTCCTATTCCTGTTCCTCCCCCTCTTCGCTGCTGTCTCAAGTTCTGTCCGTCTTCGCCCTAACGACTTGGTCTCCCTGCCTCCCTGCTCTGACCTTCCTCTGCCTGCCTCTTTCCGCTCTCCCTTTCTCCTTCTATTTCAGGCCCCCTGACTCACGTCCTCTACTCCTGGTTCCCGGGCTCAGATGAGCCTGCTGCTCCTGGTAGATCAAGAAGCAGGGGAGACTCACATCGGCCCAGGGCTGAAGGGCGGACAGCGGCCCCTCCCCGTTTGCCTGTTAGCTTAATTAGGAGGCTGGGACACCTGCGCCACGGGAGCAGCGCAACTGACACTGACACCGCAGGCCGCTGGGGCCTAAATTATTCAGTCTGTAAAGCAGCACCGGGCTCAGTTCAGGCCCATCCTAGAGCAGAGGGACACGGCTCAGGGTGTGCAGAAGACAGGGGCTGACTTGGGAGCGCCCCTTCTTCCAGACCTGCAGCTGTCCTCCCGGGGAGGGACTGGGCACAGCAGGCCGGGCAAGCTCCCCTCCTGCTGGGAGTGGTGGCCAGCGGCAGACGACTCCAGGTGGCCCCTGAGGACAGAAGATGCAGCCACACCCTTCCTTCACTCCTAGCAGTCGCTGTCCACCTGTCTCAGTGCTTTCACACTAGCCAGCCACGTGGGCAGTGTGGGGTAATCACAGTCACTGTTTCCCGACGTGTCCTACCTGAGCATGATCCTGAAACTCTAGGTTTCGGTTCTCCTTGTCTGCTCCTTTGGATCAACAGTACTAACCTTGACAACAGTTAGGATGAACTTTGATAACTGATAGTGCAGGGCAGGCGCCCCGGCACAGTAGGCATCTGCAGTGGGTGCGGTGAGCTATACTTCAGGGACACACAGGTGTTTGTGGCCCACACGTTTGTTTTTATTACTTTTGTCAAAGTTGACCAGCTGCCTGACAACAGCTATGTAAACTGCCCTGGCAGTTCCATCTATAGCTGTGATGCCAGCTGTGGTGAAGATGCCAAGTCCCTGCTCTTTCTGTACCCCAGCCCTCTCTCCTAGGTACTGTGTGTTTGCCTCCATTCACCTTCCCAGACATTTGGGGCAATCTAAAAACACAATGAGTATTAGTTGAGATTTAGGGTTATTAATTTTCTTAGGTATGATTATGGCATTGTGATCATATTTATAGAAGCTCACTTGTTGGAAACATACTGAACCAGGCATGGTGGTGGATACCTGTAATCCCAGCACTTGGGAGGTTGAGGCAGGATCGCTCTGAGTTCAAGGCCAGCTTGGACTACAGAGTGAGACCGTGTCTCAAACAAACAAACCAACCAAAAGAAAAAAACTGAAGATATTGATGAAAGAATCTGCCTTAGAAATAATGTCATTAAGTGGGTAGGAGTAGAGATGAAATAAGACTAAAAATTGTGACAGACGTTGCATATGGGTTCATCACACTATTTTACTTTCTGTAGGTGAAAGTTTCTATAACTTTCACCCTTTAAAAAATACCCTCAGGAGGATTGGCATGAGTTCGAGGCCAATCTGAACTGCATAGTGGCACCCTGTCTTAAAAAAAAAAGGAAAGAAAATGGGGACTGGGGAGAGGGAAGGAAAGAAGGTAAAAGGAAAAAAAGGAAATAATGGAAATATAGCTTTGGTAAATGGCGAGTGGAGGAGGGGCTGAAGGGAGGATGGGAATGGGAAAAAAAGAATCAAGTATATCATACACAAGTACAGATTCTCTATGGTGAATGTGATCACTACGTGTATCTCAAGGGTACCAATAAAATCTGATTAAAAAGTAGACAATAAGAATTGTTTAAAGCAAAAGTAATACAGATATTCCTCATATTCCTTTCAGGCTAATAACCAAGGCACTATTTGGACTTACAACCTGCATTTGGACTTAAAACGCAGGAATGTGAGCAGCAGGGCAGCCTTACGGCGGCTCCTTCTATATGCAGTAATATAACTTTTGCTGATTATACTGTATAGTACTGTACTTCTGTGTTCTGGCATATATTACTACATAACTGCATATAAGAATTATGCAAATAAAAGCAGAATCTCAACTTGGAGTTTCCTTTGACCATTTCTTGGATCTGAATCTTGTACATGCATACTATATACTGTTCCTCATTTAACAACCAGTTTATTAGTCACAGGACTGGAATCCACTCTTTAAATGAGGAGTATCTGTAGAATACTGAACTCCAGGAAAATAGATGAAGTCTATGAGCTGGTTCTTTGAAAACCAAGGAACAAAAATTCTGGATTCATTATTTATTTTTATTTTTATTTTTATTTTTTGGTCTTTTTGAGACAGGGCCTCACTATACAGTTCAGGCTGGCCTTGAGCTCACTTTGTAGCCCAGGCTGGTCTCGAACTCACAACGATCCTCCTGCCTCAGCCTCCCAATGCTGGGATTACAGGCGTGCGCCACCACGCCCGGCCTTGGATTCATTTTTAGAAACACAAAAAAATCAATAAAACTGAGTTTGGCTGGCTGTGGAGGTGTGTGCTCGTAACTTCAGCACTTGGGAGGCTGAGGCAGGAGGATTGCTGAGAGTTCAAGGCCAGCCTGGGCTACATAGTGTGTTCAAGGCTAGCCTGAACTAGCAAGATCCTGTCTCATAAAAAAAACCAAAAAACCAACAAGAAGAAAACACCCCCAAAAACTGAGTTCAAGAGAAAAACATCCAACCCTCTGTTTGCTTTGCTCTTGGTATTATTGCAGGGTTTTGCTTGAGTATGTATGTTACACTGGATGTCATGAGGTTATGGAGTCCACTCTTTTTTTGAGACACAGGGTTTTGCTATGTAGCCCAAGCTGGCCTTGAACTCACAGCAATCTTCCTGCCCATCTCCTGAGTGCTAGGATTATAGGTACGTGCCACCATGCCCAGCTCCTGTCATATTTTTTTCCGTTATATTTCTTGAGAAATTAAAATATTTAAGAACATTTCAGCCAGGTGTGGTGGTGCATGCCTGTAATCCCAGCACCTTGGAGGCTGAGGCAGGAGGACTGCTGTGAGTTTCAGGTCAGCCTGTGCTACAAAGTGAATTCAAGGCCAGTATGAACTGCATAGCAAAACCCTGTCTCAAAAAGACAGAAGCAGCTAGGTGTGATAGTGCATGCCTGTAAGCCCAGCACTTGGGAGGCTGAGGCAGGAGGATCGTTGCGAGTTTGAGACCAGTTTGGGCTACAAAGTGAGCTCAAGGCAACCTGAACTGCACAGTGAGATCCTGTCTCAAAAAAGACAAAACAAAAAAACCCAAAGCAATTGATTCCATAGATGTTTACTGCTGGCAAATGTGTGCTCGGGCCTGCCAGTGCCAGGCCCAGTGGGTGGACACACAGATGAATCAGACACAACCTCAAAGGGGGAGCTGGGGTGGGAGGATTAATCACTGTGAGTCTGAGGCCATCCTGGGCCACACAGTGTGTTCAATAGCACACGTGAGCTACACGGCAAGACCCTTTCTCAAAAAAGAAAAACAAAAACTAGACTTGAATAGTACTCATGTTGCTCACTTGTTCCCTCTCAAGACCAGCTGTGTAAAGCAGCAACATTAGGGATCAGAATGGCCTTTGTACAAAGGAATGTAGACTGTGGAAATGAAACGACTCTAGGTTTAAACACAAAAAGCATCACAGTAGAAAAGGAGGCTTTGACAAATCAAGATTATACACCACAGCCAAGCTGGATTCATCTCAGGGATGCAGGAATGTTGTTCAACATACGTAAATCAATAAGAAAACCATATGGTCATCTCAATAGATGCAGAAAAAGCTTCGGACAAATTCCAGCACCCATTCATGATAAAAACCCTACAGAAAACTGGAATAGATGGTCTTTATCTCAATCTGATAAAAGCCATCTATGACAAACCAACAGCCAACATCATACTAAATGGACAGAAACTGAAAGCTTTCTCTCTAAAATCAGTAACAAGACAAGGATGTCCACTATCACTCTTAATATAGATCTGGAAACATTAGCCAGGGCAGTTAGACAAGAGAAATAAAAGGAATAAAGATAGGAAAGAAGTAAGTTAAATTATCATTATTTACTGATGACATGATACTCTACATAGAAGACCCCAAAACTCCACCAAAAACTTCTACATTTAATAGCCAAATTCAGTAGTGTAGCTGGATACAAAGTCAACACTCAAAAGTCAATAGCATTCCTGTAGATGAAGAACAAACTTACTAAGAAAGAAATTAGGGAAACAATACCTTTCACAATAGCATCCCAAAAAATGAAATACCTAGGAATCAATCTAACAACCTCTACGCTGGGAACTACAGGACTCTGAAATAGGAGATTGAAAAGGACATCATAAAAGGGAAAGATATCCCTTGTCCTTAGGTAGGAAGAACAAATACAGTGAAAATGGCCACACTTCCAAAATTGTTATACAGATTTAATGCAATTCTGATCAAAATTCCAACACATCTAGAGCTGGGGATATAGCTCAGTGGCACAAGCGCCTGCCTGGCAAGCGCAAGGTCCTGAGTCAGATTCCCAGTACCAAAACAACATATCTCACAGAATTAGAGAAAACAATCCTAAAATTCATTTGGAACCAGAAGAGACCTAGAATAGCAAAGGCAATTCTGGGCAACAAAGGCAAGGCAGGGGGGCATCACAATCCCTAACTTGAAATTATACTACAAAGTTACTGTGATAAAAACAGCATGGTATTGGCAAAAAACACAGACCCAAGGACCAGTGGAACAGCTTAGAAGATGCAGAAACAACCCCAGCCAGGGATATAATTCAGCGGGCACAGTGTCTGCCTGGCAAGCTCGAATATGATTCCTGATACCAAACCAAATAAAACAAAACACAACCCCAGGCACACACAGCCACCTTATCTTTGACAGAGTGGCCAAACATCACTGGAAGAAAGGTAGCCTTTTTATAAATGATGCTGGAAAAACTCACTTTGCTCATGCTGAAGATTAAAACTGGACCTGTATCTTTCACCATGCACTAAAGTTGAAATGGATCAAATACCTAAATAGTAAAACAGAAAACATTAAATTTGCTGGAAAATAGAATAGGTAGACTTCTTGAAAACACTGGTGTAGGCAAAGACTTTATGAACAAAACTTCAGTTGCACAGGAACTATCACAAAGTATCAGCTGGGATCTCATCTTATTAAAAAGCTTTTGTACAGCAAGAGAAACCAACAGATTGAAGAGACAACCCCCAGTGGGGAAAAATTTTTTTGCAAGCAGTTCCTCAAAGGATTACTGCTGAAAACGTATAAAGAACTCAAAAAAATCAGATCCCCCAAATTTAAAGACCCAATCCAAAAATGGGCATCTGAGATGAACACACACATCTCAGATGAAGAAATACCAACAGCAAATAAATGTATGAAAAAATATTCAGCATCACTGGTCACTTGTGAAATGCAAATTAAAACAATGCTGGGATTCCATCTCATCCCAGAAAAGTGGCTATTACCAAGAAATCAGCCAGTAACAAATGCTGGCAGGGATATGAGGAAAAAGGGACCCTTGTTCACTGCTGGTAGGACTGTAGACTGGTGAAACCACTGGAAATCAGTGCAAAGATTCCTCAAAAGACTAGGATTGGTGGTCCCATCTGACTCAGCTATTCCCCTTCTTGGTATCTTCCCCGAAGAGTTAAAAGCATTATACTGCGGTGATATATGCACACCCATGTTTATAGCAGCACCGTTTGTAATGTCATAGCCAAATCTTGGAAACAGCCCATATGCCAATCAACTGGTGAATAGAGAGAGATGGTGTGGGTTTTTTCCTAAAGTGGAGTACTACTCCACCATAAAAGATAGGTAAGTGCTTGCACCTTGAGACCACACTGAAGTGAAATAAGTCTGACACTTGTGTGTAAATGCTGCATTCTCTGGTGTGAGAAAAGGAGACTTTGAATGGTGAAGTGTATTTTACTGGGCAATTGGAAGACCCACCAAAGGGAATCTGTATGTGTATATGTGTGTCTAGCAGTCAGTTTTAATCAATAATCAACTCCTTAGCCCCTATACTGCCCTTATAAGTCTAGCGTCCGGGCTAGTCTGCATCTCAGCTTAACACCATATTGTTCTCCCTTATCTCCATTTTGACTACAAATTCCAAAAACAGGCTAAATCAAAGAGGGCCAACATAAAAATCCTTGAGAAGCAGGAGGGCTCAAAAATACACAGTGAAAGCCAATACCAAGAATGCTATAAACATCGTTTTATTTATTTTTTAAGAAAGTAGCTTCAGAAAAAGAAAATAATCTAGATCATTTATTTATATATATATATATTTTAATAAAAACCTTTACATAATCTTCATGCATAAAGACTCAGGGGTGGCCATGTCTGCGACAGCTCTCACATCAGCTGTCTCAGGCCAGCACCTGGGGTTCCCCATCGCTGGCAACAATGCAGGGAAGGCCTCTGCCTGCCCCTAAAGCCCAGCTCCCTGCCTGTCTCGATGACAGCCTCACTTTCCAGCAGGGTAAATGAAAGATGATGGTAAATGCTGAGGGCCTAAAAAAGAGGGACTCAGGAGGGTGCTCCAACTTGCCATTTTTTATCTAAGCTCTTCAGGCAAATCTAGGCAGGTGTCCCAGAAAGATGACTGAAAATCAAGGGGCAAACCAAGTTCTAGAAGCTTCCCAGAGATACGTGATGTACGACCAGTGTGGCTGCATATGGCAGTAGGGAAGGTATGGTATTCAAGGAACAACCGAGGCAGGAACACTACAAGCCTTGAAGATTTGATCCCCCACAGCATGTACTCCTCTCTACCCTGTGTTGGAAAGAGCCTGTTCTCTGTGCTCAGTCCAATACTCTTGACTCCGAAATTCGGTTAACCGACCATTTCACTTGAGAAGAAAAATTCCCCTCCTGTGAACAGCTGGTATATCAGGGAAGGACAGTCCTAGGTCAATACGCTTGTCCCATCAGGTTTCACTCCTTAGTACAAAACGGCTGGAGCAGGGTAGGGTAGTAAGTTGGCATAGAGGGCAGCAACATCCAGAATGTTGAAGGTGAAAAAGAATTTCCTAGTTCTTTGGGAG